AAAAGGGGACCTTGTTGAGGATGATGCAGAGGTAGAACTTGAGAGGCCTCAAGGTTTTTGATAAAAAGGACACGAGAGAGACAGACACTCCTAGTGGTCAAACAAATATAAAAAGGGAAAGAAAAAAATTGCAAGAAATCTAAGACCTCTGGCTCAGGCTTCACCACATGTACTCAGGATGGGAGAGCTTTCTGATTCAGGCTCTGAGCAGAGCATGGAAAAAAATGCATGGAAAGGTTGCATCTCGCATCCAGAGCAGATACCTGATGGGAAGCCCAAAGGCAAGTACCTGCCAGGCAAGTCTCTGCCTGAAAAAGCAATCCCATTGTATTCTTCTTTTGAAGATATGATCAGTGATAAATGGAATACTCCTCAAAAGCATAAGCGTATCAGCAGACATGCACTTAGATACTACAAGCTGCAAGAGCCAAAAAATGCCATCACATCAAAGGTAGATGCTACAATGGCATTAGCAAAAGATATGATAATACTAACCAAATGGGATTCCCAAAGATACTACTGATAGTAAGGTGAAAATCATCCTCAAAGGGATTTTGAGTCTTCCTCGGTTGCCCTCACTGACCTTGGTCACTGTCTCCTTTGCAAGAGCCATCCCCATGTCCTAGCTGGATGACCCAAACACCCTGGACAACAAGGACCAACCTGACTTCATCTACCGTTAAGAAAATATCCCTAACAACAGCCTTTGTGGCAGATACCTCAGTGGATGGTGTGAGATTCTCAGCCATGGCCATCGCATCCAGTTAACAGCTAGGTACCAAATGTGGTTGTGCTTATGGATGGCAGATGCCCACTACAAACAAATGCTGTGTTCATCCAAATTCACAGGCACTGCCCTATTTGGAGAGGAAGTGGGTGACATAGTGGTGGACAGTGCATTTAAACAAAGCAGTTCCTCCTCTGCCCACATGGTATCTTGAGAAAGGACTACAAGCCCACTGTCAAAGGCTTCAAGGATCCAAGCTATTCCTGGCCAGTTATGCAGGTGGAGCAATACAAGGCATCAGATTAATGTCTACAAGAACTATCACAACATCCTGGGCAGAAAAAGCTTAAGCTTCCACTGAGGAAATCTGCAGAGCAGCAACAAGGTCCTCTATTAACAACTTTTGTTAGATTCTATAAGGCGGAATTTCTGTCCTTTGCAGGGATCTCCTTTGGAAGAGAAGGTGCTGCATGTAGTGATCCAGAAATAGTTCCCATTTTGGCATTTAATTTCAAGGGGAGACTTCCCTGTCTTAGTCTTTCTATATCCCTTTCTACTTATGTGCATTGCTTGCTACTTTCCATGTGTCTCAGAAATGTGGGAGACAGTTGGCTGCAAAATGGAGAGTTTCTTATCCAATAATTTTCTTTCTGTTTAGCAGCATCTTCCATAATTCTACTCTTCCTGTATGGCTTATTAGCCAATGGACAAATTTAATTTTTATATCTCTAGTTTGTGAACCAGTGAATGTAGTGTATGTAGTTTCCAGGTTGGCTCTAAAATTGTTACTAATATTCGAAGAGTTCTTACGCAGTTTTGGGATGAATAGTCTGGCAGCAAGCCAGAGAAAGGAATGTGGTCAGCACAGGCTATGTTACAATGTTTTAATCACCACTGGAACTGCAGAGAGGAGGGAAACCATTCATATATCTCAGAATTGTGGGAACAGTTGCTAGCAGAAAGAGCAAACTTCAGCTAAGAAGTTTCCTATTATCATTTCCTTTTGTTTTGCTAGTTTTCTTGCAAATAATTCTCTCTGAGATAAAACAAAGCTGTCCCTTGCGTCCAACCTATACTCTCTGTCCTCTCTGGCATCTTTCACATTAATAATGCTAGGCACTTCTGTTGTCATGGTTCCTTTCAGAGGTCCAGTTTCTTCAAACAGTCCTTCATGAGTAAACATTTGTACTATTGCTTTCAGTCTTTGACTCCTCCCTCACTTTTAAACTGCAACAGAGATAGAGTTACTGTTTTTTGTAGCTGTCATCTCAGCTAAGCTACAGCCCTGAAATTTGAAGTTATCTTTATTAATTTTTAGTAAGCAGATAAAAATACAAAAAATACCAAATTATTTATAGCTTGTATATGTTCCCAGATACCATATACTTCATGGAAGCTACAACAGAATTATGCAATTTTATAATTGATCAGATTCAAGACTATACTAGAACACAATAAGGTGGAGATTAAAACAGTAAAATGGGAGAAGATGTACATGAGGAGGAAGGAAGGTCAACCAAAGCCGAAGGGAGTTAGGGTGGGATGTGGCAGCTAGATAGGATGGAGAACTGGCATTCTTTGAGCAGTCTGTTATTTGTATTCAAACATACCTAAAGAAACAGGGTCCAAATATCTTCAATTTCATATAACTGATTCCTAGGGTCGTAAGCTATTCTTTTTTTGGCTGCTAATTTGGACAGATCCGAATGCCACCGCTGTATTTTCGGCATAAGCCTATTCTTCCATTTTTGTAAAATCATGTACTTGGTAATCATTGCAGCCCTCAAGTTTTTGTGGTGGAGATAAACCCAGTTTAGCAGGTGTAATGTCAGATTTTAACCTAAATTGAAAATATTGCAATAGAGGGAGAAGATAAGGGAATTTTTCAAAACTGAAATGAAAATCTGAGACCATGCAAAAAATCTAGTTTTTTGCCCTTTATTGATGATAGTGAAAAAGCCTCCAAAAATTGCCGTTATTGGAGGGAGAACAGAATTTTAAAAGACTGGGTTAGGGCACTTTTAAATAAATAAATAAAAGCCTTAATTTTATATGTGAATTCTTATTCCAGTGGGTGGAAAAGGTACCAACTGGATCATATGTGTTTCGTAATGGTCGAGCTGAAGAAAGGGAAGCTGCAAAGCATGCAGAGAATCGACAAAAACACCTGGAAGCTCTGTTTTCACAAATCCAAGTGGAGTTTAAACAGCATGAAGGTAAAACTGTTTGTTTCCAAGTATGCAGTATAGTTGTAGCTATGTTGGTCTCAGGATATTAGAGAGAGAACGTGGGTGAGGTATTATCTTTTATGTGACCAATTTCTGTTGGTGAGAGAGACAAGCTTTTCAGTTCACACAGAACTCGGCTTCAGGTCAGGTCTTCTGTTTCACTTTCTCGAAGGTATTCTCATTGTTACAGGAATGTGTGTGTGAACCCAAGGATCTTGTTTATAGAGGATTCTCCTCTAAATGCTGAAAAAGGAGTTTTCCTGAAGTACTTTGGGAGATACTACTAAAATTTTCTGCCAAGTCTGAATGCAGTAGTTTTGATTTTTTAATGTTATTTATGAGATGTTTAAGGCAACTCTGATGGGCTGCTACTCCCCATTGCGTGTAAATAATCACCAGAAATACTACAGTAGACCCTTCAGAGTTATGAACACCTTGAGAATGGAGGTTGTTCAGAACTTTGAAATGTTCGTAACTCTGAACAAAACATTATGGTTGTTTTTTCAAAAGTTTACATCTGAACATTGATTTAATACAGCTTTGAAACATTACTATGCAGAAGAAAAATGCTGCTTTCCCTTTATTTTTTTAGTAGATTATGTTTAACTGTGCTGTATTTGCTTTTTTTTTTTTTTTAATTTGTGTGTGCATGTGTCTGTGTCTCGTCTGCTACTGCTGCTGCCGCCTGATTGCATACTTCCGGTTCCAAATGAAATGTGTGGTTGACTGGTCAGTTTGTAACTCTGGTGTTCACAATTCTGAGGTTCTACTGTAACTTGTTAACAGATTTTTGTACATAATTTAGGACTTGTTCCTGTGAGGTGTAGATTTGGATTAGACAAAAACAAATATAGAGTCACTGATAGTTGAGTGAGGTTGTTGTCGCAATTTCTGGTGAACTGCACCTCTGAATTCTTCTGGTCTCAGGCCTCTAGCTATCACCAGATTCATAGATTCTAAGGCCAGAAGAGACCACTGTGATCATCTAGGGGACTGTCTGTGACTCCACGGTGAGACTGCTACAGTAATCAAGGGGTTCATATTTGTTACTTGCTTGGTGAAATCTAATTATAGAACATACCGCCCTGTTTTGGATAGTCTGCCCTGAGGTAGCCACTCAGGGTCGTGAGCCCCTCCTGACAGCATGACATAGAATCATAGAATATCAGGGTTGGAAGGGACCTCAGGAGGTCATCTAGTCCAACCCCCTGCTCAAAGCAGGACCAATCCCCAATTTTTGCCCCAGATCCCTAAATGGCCCCCTCAAGGATTGAACTCACAACCCTGGGTTTAGCAGGCCAACGCTCAAACCACTGAGCTATCCCTCCCCCCACATGGTAAATAGTGAAGAGGACAGATCATTGATACAGAACAACCTGGATTGCATGGTAAACTGGGCACAAACAAAAAATGTGTGTTTTAATATGGCCAAATGAAGTTATAGATCTAAGAACATACGCCCTATTTACAGGATGAGGGATTCTATCCTGGGAAGCAGTTAACTCTGAAAAAGACTTCAGGGTCAAGGTGGTAATCAGCTGAACATGAGCTCCCAGTGGGACACTGAGGCCAATGGGGCTAATTAGGTTCTTCTTTGCATCATCAAGAACTCCTCAAGTAGGAGTGCAGAGTTTGTATACTTCTCTATTTGGCACTGGTGCAACTGCTGCTTGACTACTGTGTCCAGTTCTGGTGTCCATAATTCAAGAAAAATGTTGAAAAACTGGAAAGGATTCAGAAAAGAGCCACGAGAATAATTAAAGCGTGCCGCATAGTGATAAACTCCAGGAGCTCACTCCTTAACTTATACCTTATTAAGTTAAATCATAGATTCATAGGACTGGAAGGGACCTCGAGAGGTCATCTAGTCCAGTCCCCTGCACTCATGGAAGGACTAAGTATTATCTAGACCAGGGGTTCTCACAACAAAATTTTTGGTGGCCTCAAAGTGCAGCCGCCAACTCTTGCTGGTGGCTGTGCTGACAATTTTTCCTAAAATACTTAATTAACTTTAGGAAAAACAAATATATATGCACATACACATGTCCAAATCATTATAATTTATTGAATATTTTTTGCAGACTCAATAATAAAAATAATGTACAGTTGCTTCTCTTCTTTACAGGATCTTAACAGAATAGAAACTCAAATAAGGTGCTCTGCTGGTTCTTATCTTTTTTGTTATTGTTTTTTTGCCTTTTTTGGTTGCTTTTGTTAAAAGACTTGCTAGCTAGTAAGTCTGCTGCTGTCAAAAGCGATATTAACCAATATACAAATATCATTTTCCGCAGCAGCAGACTTACTCGGTCCTGGCAAGCCCGGGGACAAATTAAGCCTTGGATAGGGAGGTTGGTAGGGGGGACGTGAAGGACAGAGGGGAATGCATGACAGGCTGGCGGGGGTCAGGGGCGATGGGGGGTGAGCCCTGCAGTTGGGGTTGGAGCCCTGTGACCAGAGCCTACTGCCTGCCACTCCAGGGCTGGAGCCTGAACCTACATCCCCAGGAAGGTGGGGAACTCACTAGCTGCCTGCTCCTCTAGCATTTGTGTCTCCAGAGGGGGCCAGGGTCCAACCCCTGGTGGCCCTTTGGGAGGGACCACTGCTTCCCCCCATTCCCCCCATCACTGCCTAGGAGGCTGTGTCTGCAAGAAAAGCCCCTGGTGGCTGCATTTGAGAAACACTGTAGAGTCTAAGGCAGTGTATCTTGCCACCCAGGCAGACTGGATTTAGTGATAAATGGTTACTTATACCATAAATCACATAATATTCAGGTTGCATCCAGTCCCAAGAGACCAGTTACTTACCCCAGATCAATTTGTATCTTCTATCTCACACCAAAGACAACGCCTGTAGCCAATCCTGTAATAAACTAACTTAAAGGTTTATTAACTAGAAAAAAGAAATAAGAGAATTATTTCCAGGCTAAAGCAAGCAAACATAAACACAAATAAGTTATCATCTATGATTTTTAAAGATACTACATCTCTGTCAATTCAAGATGGATTTCAGGACGGACCCTGGGGGTCTCTGCCTCTCAGTTTAGAGCCTCTGGCCCTGTCAGAGTTCAAACAACAGAGCTGTAACATCTTCCTGTGTCTTTGTTTCGTTTCCGTCATTCAGCCTCCAAGTCCATAGACCAGCTTCCTTGCATGTGGTGTTTCTAAGATGCGATAGGGCCATTAATCAATCCTTTGTATTGCGATGTTCCCATCTGATTTTGATTGTTCTTCTGGATGGTGGCAGGAAACACTCTTCCCATCTGAGTTCATAAGTTTAGAGCAAATTATTTTCAGTTATAAAGCAAAACTTACATATTTCCTTATAGCATGGAATACAGACATTACAAAATAAGATTAATGCATACGGCAACTTACCAGTATTCTATAGAGTCTAAACACATTCTTATAAGACTAATCCCTGTTTTGAGCAAAACTAACACATAAGTGAACTGCTCTGGTCTCCAGCTATGAGTTTGTCATTTCTTAACTAATGCCTGCAGCCTTGGTACCTGGCCTGCCAGTGTCACATACCACTCCCCAGTCTTTGTGTCATCTGCAAATTTTGTTGGTGATGATTTTATGTTTTCTTCCACATCACTGATAAAAATGTAAAATAGCATAGGGTCAAGAACTGATCCCTGTGGGACCCCGCTAGAAACACATTCATTTGATGATTCCCGGTTTACGTTGCATTTTGAGACCTGTCCATTAACTAGTTTTTAATCCAGTTAATGACAGATTTCAGAGTAACAGCCGTGTTAGTCTGTATTCGCAAAAAGAAAAGGAGTACTTGTGGCACCTTAGAGACTAACCAATTTATTTGAGCATGAGCTTTCGTGAGCTACAGCTCACTTCATCGGATGCATGCCGTGGAAACTGCAGCAGACTTTATATACACACAGAGATCATAAAACAATACCTCCTCCCACCCCACTGTCCTGCTGGTAATAGCTTATCTAAAGTGATCATCAAGTTGGGCCATTTCCAGTACAAATCCAGGTTTTCTCACCCTCCACCCCCCCACACACAAACTCACTCTCCTGCTGGTCATAGCCCATCCAAAGTGACAACTCTCTACACAATGTGCATGATAATCAAGGTGGGACATTTCCTGCACAAATCCAGGTTCTCTCACCCCCTCACCCCCCTCCAAAAAACACACACACAAACTCACTCTCCTGCTGGTAATAGCTCATCCAAAGTGACCACTCTCCCTACAATGTGCATGGTAATCAAGGTGGGCCATTTCCAGCACAAATCCAGGCTTTTTTTTTTTTCCCGGGACACACACACACACACACACACACACACACAAACTCACTCTCCTGCTGGCAATAGCTCATCCAAACTGACCACTCTCCAAGTTTAAATCCAAGTTTAACCAGAACGTCGTGGGGGGGGGGGGTAGGAAAAAACAAGGGGAAATAGGCTACCTTGCATAATGACTTAGCCACTCCCAGTCTCTATTTAAGCCTAAATTAATAGTATCCAATTTGCAAATGAATTCCAATTCAGCAGTTTCTCGCTGGAGTCTGGATTTGAAGTTTTTTTGTTTTAAGATAGCGACCTTCATGTCTGTGATTGCGTGACCAGAAAGATTGAAGTGTTCCCCGACTGGTTTATGAATGTTATAATTCTTGACATCTGATTTGTGTCCATTTATTCTTTTACGTAGAGACTGTCCAGTTTGACCAATGTAAATGGCAGAGGGGCATTGCTGGCACATGATGGCATATATCACATTGGTGGATGTGCAGGTGAACGAGCCTCTGATAGTGTGGCTGATGTTATTAGGTCCTGTGATGGTGTCCCCTGAATAGATATGTGGGCACAGTTGGCAACGGGCTTTGTTGCAAGGATAAGTTCCTGGGTTAGTGATTCTGTTGTGTGGTATGTGGTTGTTGGTGAGTATTTGCTTCAGGTTGCGGGGCTGTCTGTAGGCAAGGACTGGCCTGTCTCCCAAGATTTGTGAGAATGTTGGGTCATCCTTTAGGATAGGTTGTAGATCCTTAATAATGCGTTGGAGGGGTTTTAGTTGGGGGCTGAAGGTGACGGCTAGTGGCGTTCTGTTATTTTCTTTGTTAGGCCTGTCCTGTAGTAGGTAACTTCTGGGAACTCTTCTGGCTCTATCAATTTGTTTCTTCACTTCCGCAGGTGGGTATTGTAGTTGTAAGAAAGCTTGACAGAGATCTTGTAGGTGTTTGTCTCTGTCTGAGGAGTTGGAGCAAATGCGGTTGTATCGCAGAGCTTGGCTGTAGACGATGGATCGTGTGGTGTGGCCAGGGTGAAAGCTGGAGGCATGTAGGTAGGAATAGCGGTCAGTAGGTTTCCGGTATAGGGTGGTGTTTATGTGACCATTGTTTATTAGCACTGTAGTCTCCAGGAAGTGGATCTCTTGTGTGGACTGGACCAGGCTGAGGTTGATGGTGGGATGGAAGTTGTTGAAATCATGGTGGAATTCCTCAAGGGCTTCTTTTCCATGGGTCCAGATGATGAAGATGTCATCAATATAGCGCAAGTAGAGTAGGGGCTTTAGGGGACGAGAGCTGAGGAAGCGTTGTTCTAAATCAGCCATAAAAATGTTGGCATACTGTGGGGCCATGGGCTGGGGTTGGTCGTCCCCAAGTAAGTTTGGGTGGCAAGTACAAGTTCGCCCGGTGTGCATTGGGGTGGTTCTTGACAGTTGTGTCACTTGTGTGGAGTTGGTGTGGGTTCACAGGGAGGTGGTGTTTCAGGAAGTCACCGTGGATTGAGTTCTCAGGAAGTCAGGGTGTCTCGAAGGTGTGGGAGGGGTAGGAGGGCCGAGGAGGAGTCAGCGCAAGCCACTCAGAAACACCGACACATAACAAAAAGGCGAGAAAGGAGGGCGTTGTCATCAGAAGGGAAAGAACAAGGAATCACAGCCCCTACCACGAGAGTTACCAAAAGCAACTACAGCATTGCTCAAAAACCTGAAAAAGCACAGGATCAAACGCACAGACACACCCCTGACACGGGATATCTCTACACCCAAGTCCATAAACGGAAACCGGGGCCATCACTCAGGCATGGCAGACAGCAGGATGTTGGCTAGTACCTCAGGCCTACTACCACCCCCAGTACTTCGAGCACCACACCTGAAAACAACGGGTCCTGAAAACACCGGCCACTATGGATGTAAAGTATACACCAACCACACAAAGAGGACTACAAGGTCAAAACACACCATAAGTCACGGCAACGGGGCTGAACTTTGTGACTTGTCCTTACCATAACTATTCACATTTGGGGACAGTACTTCAGATCAGGGCACGCAGGGACCCAGGCCAGTTGCCAACATTTTTATGGCTGATTTAGAACAAGCTAGCCGCCCCTAAAGCCCTACTCACTTGGCTATATTGATGACACTTCATCACTGGACCCATGGAAAAAAGCCCTTGAGGAATTCCACCATGATTCAACAACCCACCCACCACAACCTCAGCGGTCAGTCCACACAAATCATTCTGGAACTACAGTGCTAATAAACAAGGTCACATAAACACCACCCTATACAAACCTACTGACCGCATTCTACCTACACCCAGCTTTCACCGCCACAACACACTCTACACCAACGCATACACAGCAACCCTCAGACAAACAAACACCTACAAGTCCGTCAAGCTTCTTACAACTACAATACCCACCCGGAAGTGAAAAACAAATTGATAGAGCCAAAGAGTCCAGAAGTTACACACAGGACAGGCCTAACAAAGAAAATAACAGAACCACTATCACCACCCCAACTAAAACCCACTTATTAAGTCTACAACATCCTAAAGGAGACCCAACATCTCACAAATCTTGGGAGACAGGCAGTCTTGCCTACAGACACCCAACCTGAAGCAAAACCACCAACAACCACAACCACCAACAAACACTAACCCAGAACTATCTGCAACAAACCGTGCCAACGTGCCCACATATCTATTCAGGGGACACCACACAGACCTAATAACATCAGCCACACTATCATCGACCCACCAAGTGATATACCATCGTGCCAACGCCATTTACATTGGTCAAACGACACTTAAAAGAATAAAGCCAAATCAGTCAAATATAACTCATAACCAGGTCAATGGTCACCAATCACAGCGACATCTTAAAACAAAAACTCAGCCGTGTTTGCAAATTGTACATTAATTTGGCTAAAGAGACGGGAGGAGTCATGCAAGGAGTTCCCTTTCCCCCCCAGGTCGGTTAAACTGGTTTAAACTGGAGAGGGTCAGTTTGGATGAGCTTGCCAGAGGAGAGTGAGTTTGGGTGTGTGTTTAAAAAAAAAAGTGATGTCGGGTGTGGGGGGTTTTGGGGGGGGGGTGAAAAGTGGGAAAGGCCCAACTGATGTCCTTAGAAGTACCAGGGGGGGTGTGTAGGAGGGCCCAAAAGTCAGCCTTTTTGAAAGGGTTTTTTCGTTTTTAACAGTGTCACAAGTCCTTATCGCAAACGTACCGTAAAACAACGTTTACTCCATTCAAAAAGGGGAACTATTTGGTCGGGTATTATTTGCAAGTGGTGCAAATACAGTACTTTAAATAACGAACAAAGTCAAGTATTGAAAACAACTAAGGCACCCTTTAAACTGAAATGGTTTAAAAATAACGACCTTACCTAGTTACATGAGAAGTTTCCATATCTTATATAGTTTTCCTAGGAAAATAAATTTCCTCCTTGCTCTCCTTTTGAAGTCATTTGAGGTAAACCTTCTGTCTTTAACGTGTACCTCTTTGTCTTTTGTTTCTACAATTCAAATTTCTGATTTATAGATCTCAACCCCTTCTTCCATTTGTATATATATTTAGAGTACAAGACATGGGGTAGAACAAGTGATTTCCACCACACGGGAATAACGCAACTACCCATGATTGTCAAAATCGGTTTAAGCCAGAACCCCGGAGGAGGGAAACCATCCTTTAAGCAAAATATTTATTAGAAAAAAGTTTAAGAAAAATATACTTTAAAAATAATAAACGTTGTGAATTCTAAAATTTACATACCTAGTCGGGAACCAGCAGCCCACAAGACAGATCTTCAAGCCGACAATTGCCTTCTACTTCGAGAACGTTTTAATTGTTTGTCCTTTTCTTCTAGTTTCGGCCAAAACACCGTGTCACTTGCTGAGCTGGAAGTTCCATTGTCTTATAGAAACCAGGGTTGGAAGGACCAATCTAGTCAACCCCAAAGTAACCAACCCCCAACTAAAACAGCCAGGCTTTGTCAAGCGTAAATCGAAGGAAGG